GGGTGTCGGTTGTCAGCTGCCCCAGTTGGTTTAGCAGGGGTCCAGTGTTGCCCTGTTTTTCTTCTGACTTCTCACGCATCTGAAGGACCTTTTATTGTCCTTGGTTTGTGTAGCCAGTTGGAGTTCCATTGCAGCCATGGCTTTCCTTGTTCACTCCCTACAGGTGTGGACCAGTGCAGAATACTTCTTAGTGGTGTTTCCTGTCTTCTATTCTTTGTAAGCCTCTCTTTTTAGACGTAGGAGGCCCATGAGTTCTCTGTTGAGCCAAGGGGGTTGCTGAGCTCATTTACCACCTCACCCATGGGTTGGGATGGACTTCCTTTGTACTTATAAGATCACTTCCTTAAGGAGCAACCACTCATCATAAATTGAATCATGGCCTCTCAGGGCCTCGAACAAGTCTCCTGAGCTTATGACAGCTGGCTTTCCTAAAGTTGAGTACTAATGCATTCCTGGCTGACTTGCCAGCTTTATGGTGGATAGTGAAAGTGATCAGCTCATGGTCACTGTAACCCAGCTTCCCTTTGATTCTTAGGTCACTGATAAGATGATTCCCTTTGTCCAGTACCAGGTCCAGCACCTTACCCCTTGTTGGCCCATAGGCTTCTTGAGACAGGTAGAGCTCATCCATGCTTCTTGAGACAGGTAGAGCTCAGACCAATTGGATTTGGCCAAGTGCTGTTCCCATAAGATGTCCGGGTAGATGTCTCCCATGACAACTATGGATCAGTACTGTGCAGCCTCAGCCATTTCCCTGGCGAATTCCTGGTCAAGCTCTGTCATAAAGTCTGTCATAAATATATTAGCATATCGGGGGACCATATGTGTGCCCGTAGCAGTGCCATTTCGTTTATAGGTTAATGAGTCTCCAAATCTGAAGTAGCCGTGTGAGAGGACCAAGTGGAAGAGTACAGTGGAAACAGAAGCAGTGTTCTCATTGGGGATAAGGTTCTTTTTGGCTTGTAATCCATCCTTATGGGAGATGCTGATGTACAGAGATGTGACATCCATGGTAGCTAATATTGGGGTAGCTAGAAGCTTGTCAATGGAGACCATTTTTTTTTTTTTAAAGAAACCTGTGGTGCATTTCAAATAGCTGGCACCTCCAACGACATAATGGAATAGGATAGAGTCAGGTGTTTGAAGCTTATGGGAAATTTAGTACATCAGAAGTGGTTCCAGAAGAGAGATAAATAGCAGACAACATGCAAGTGAGCCAAACGAGGGTGTGAGATGTATGTGCTCCGTCATATGCTTTAGGAATGTGTTGGTCACAAGGCTTTGAAATGCATCACTTGATTATCTGGACATTTTCAAGTAGCACTAATAGCAAAATGCAAATAGTGAACAGTGTTATGCATAGTTGCTTCAATGGTTAGACTGAGATCTGTTTAACCATGTAAGGTTTTATTCATGTACTTCTTCATGTTTAGTACTTACCTATTAGCCTTTACCTTGGCTTTAATGTGATCTGTTTTACTTTGTCTCAGCTGGCTCACTTCAGCATAAAAAGGAAAGAAAAGGGGTGGGGGTGAAAATTGCAAATGTGCAAAGACAACCTTGGGCCTGTGGAGTGGATTACCTCCGGGATATACAGTTGGAATGTTTGAGACGCCTTTTGAGTTTGGCAGCTTTCCGTTTGCTTTCCCTTTTCCTTCCTTTCTTAGTTCTCCAGTAATAGTTCCCTTGTTCCTGAAGAACAAAACCAGTACTTAGTGGTCATTCAGAAAGATTCATTAAAAACAGGAATGGAGTAATTGTAAACAGGCTCCCCCACCCCTTCCATTTTAGCCCAGGGCACAACAGTCTTATGTAGTCTGGCTCCAGACAGTTTTGGAGTGGGGGGAGGGGAAGAACAATAACCTTTACAGGTTTAAATATTCTTTATGTAACTTAATGTTTTCCTAGAAAAGCTAGGAAAGTAAGATGAATTTTAAAATATTTCTTAAAAAGACCTTCTTTAACTGATAAAGTCTTCCCTTTTTCACTAAATGCAGGATCTGTAGCAGTTGGAGCCCAAAGATAGCTTTCCTACAAGACAAGAGAAATGGCCATATAATAAAGCAGTGATTCACTTATAATCAGTCATCATTATGAAGCAGGCAGTCAATAATTCCTCCAGGCTGGTTAATTTTTGTGCAGACCAAAAATCAATGGCAGTGCTTTGTGGGAAACAGCATCAATTTGCTGGATAAGTGACATTTGGCGAGATTATTATAGCACTGGGGCAGAGATCCATTATTATATAATTATGGCGAGGGGGCCTTTTGGTTTGAAGAGTTTAAAAAAAAATTATTTACTGTACCAGACTAGAACTTGCAAAAGGCACTGGCTTATCATTAGTGGTGGTTTACTTTAATTACTGGGATAAAGTTAGATCTGGTAAAATATCAGTGATTTAAATGAAACTGCTTATGCCAGGTTTGAATTTGGTACTTCGTATGCATTGCATTGCAGTTGTTGTTTTCTCCTGGATCACCGCATAGATGAGACTGTCGGTTACTAAAATGAAGCATGTGCTCACATCTGTCAAATACAGAATTGTATTTAAAATTTCTCTGCCTACTACAAAATATGTGGTCACACAGGGATAAGGAGATGCAGAAGTATTTTAATGTATAGTGGAAAACAGAGACCTTTATCATCAAAATCAGTAACTGAAATAATATCAATACCTGATTTTAACCCAAATGTTCAGGCAGTTTGCCTTTATTAAATTGTTGAGGATTTTTTTTTAAAATGGAAAACATTCTTTCATGTCCACCACCTTTCTAATACCTTCTGTGCTGTTATTAAAAGGCACTTCTCAACTGCAGAGCCATTTCAAGAGCAGTGGGATAAGTAGCAGGCAGAGGATTTCATTGAAAAGTGAATGGTTCAGGTGCAAATGCTGCCTGGAACCAATAACAATATTATTGTTGCCAGGCTTGATTGGATATAACAGCTGTTTGTGGCAGGGAAACTAATTATCATTAGAAGCATTTTAAATCCATCTGATCTTCTTACTGTTGTTAGTCGAATACTTGTAAAAAATTAAACTTTTAATGAGGGCACCTTTCTTTTGGTTAGTGTCTATACATAATTTATTTAAATGACTCATCTGAGATATCGATTTAATTTTTAAAGGCAGAGGAGGATTGAAGGCACGGGGAGGGGAAGGACAGTGTGCGTGTGTTGCCTTCTATATACCAATGCAAAGAGACAGTTTCTGTGTGCAGAATGTTGGATTGATAGAATGTGGCGTGGCTTCTTTCACCTCCAGCATAACCTCATGGTAAAGGACAATATAAGTGGTCTTCTAAGTGATGGGTATATAATGGGGAGTCATGCGTATGTATTGAGTCAAAGCTTCGCACCTGTTCTGTCATAACAACTTCCTCTCAGAACATGGGGGAGGGACGGGACAAAGTACTCTACTTTTTGTGAGATTGCTAGAGGCATTCTTTCTGTGAGTTGGAAAAATTTGGTTTTAAATATTGGCATTAAAGGAACCGCCTTGTAGTTTTATAGCATTCTTGCTTTACACTGATACTTTTAAAAAAAATGACCTGATAACTATTATACAACGTAAATACAATTTTAACATGGCTTATTAATGTTACTAAGGAATATTGTTAATAGCATATTAATAACATACTTAATATTAATATAAGGAATGATATTAAGAAATATATACAGCAATAACAATAATAGCAGCAGCAGTAGCGAAGAAAGCTTTTAGCTTTTGTCTAAAAAAAGTTTCTCTCCCTCTTGGTTCTGCAGTAGAGCTGGAAAACATGACTACACTCTCATGGCTCCAAAGTTTGGAGAAAAAATACAAAATTTACTATTCTTTAAAAATATCTCATGAGTATTAAGTCAAATCTCATGACATGACTACTCTGACTATTTTTAGGTACATGTTGACAATCCTGATACTGACATCATTTAGCTTCAGAATAGATGCCACATGCAGTTAAGGAGGGACAGTTCACCTTTCCATTAAAGTAGTAGTTGTTATGAGGAATAGAAGTGTTTCCCCTGTACAGGATGGAGGAAAGCAGCAGAAAGTTGGTGCAGTGGAACTTGGCATTCCTGGGACAAAGGTCTCTTGGAGATCTGGGAACAGCGGAAGTTTTTACTAGTGGATCTGCAAACAGTGAATGTGCAGTGTGGAAAGTGAAGTACAGTGTAATGTGACTGCTTCTCTGCATGTTAGTAGTAGCACTCATGGCCTACTGGCTTCTCAACTGGAATGGAGGATTCTGTCTCTTAACTCTGTGGTCAGCTGGCATTGAGCAAAACCAGCTTTGGAGGCTTTACTCTCAAGAGTTTGGCGCCGTCTTAGAAGCAATTGCAGTCTAAAGACATATGAGAAACTTCAAAGACAGGAAGAATGGAAATAAGAGTTTGGTAAACTAACTATTTGCATTTAAACATTTAGTAACGTATCTGAAGACACAATAGAATGCAGAAATGAGGCTTGTGTGTGAGGTTAGAGGTGAGAGAAAAAGGACAGTTAACACAATTTTTCATGCTATTATCTACAGTTATAAGCACCCTCCCCCTCAAAAAAAAAAAAACCAAAACAAAACAGAGGCTATTAAGGAGCAAGGGGATTGTTTGTTTTTCCCTTTTTGTCTTAATAGTAACTTGCCTTATTTGGATGGAGAAACAGAACAAGTTCTCTGGGCTGTTAGCAAAGCTTTTGCATATCTTTGCTTGCTGGTCTTTTTGGCTAGGGACAGACATTCAAAAAGCCTGAGCCTGAATTGATTCAATCTTTGCAGGTTAGTCTAACCTGGCTAGGCTAAACTGGGGCGTGGCCAGGCCCGGGCAGGAAGCTTTGATTAAGGAGGGTTCCCCTGCCCCCAGCAGGCATTTGATAACATAGTGTTTATCACACCACCAGAAAAAAAAAGCTTTTCTCCATTAGTTCAAGCTCTTTTTAAACAGCTTTTCCAAAGAAGAAATTGGTCTCCCACAGCACAGACCGTAGCCAGCCTGTGGTCTGCTGGCTAATGCTGAGAGGTGTCTGTGTAAGGCAGAGGGGAGTGGAGAATCCCTGCTTAGCAGGGAGTGGTATGGGGAGGTGGGGAGCGGGGGGAAGCCAGGTAGACTCCTGTAGTCTCTGTTGGAGCTCCAGCCAGGGAGCAGAGGGGAGGAGCCAGCTCTACTGTGGAGCTGAGAGCCACACCCAGCCCTGAAAGCATGCCGGGATGCTGGGGGAGTCTGGTTTAACTTAAACCAGGAAGGGGTCTGGGACAGACATTGTATAAACCTGTTTGACCTGAATCAGTTAAGTCTGATACTCCATTCAACCAAGTTTATCTAAAACTGGTTTCAGCCATTTTCAAACTGGTTTATGTGTACTGAACATCTGTTCTGTTACAGGTTTAAACCAGTTTCTGATCATTTAAACTCGTTTATGTGTAATGTCTGTCCCTAGCCTTTGAGGCACCTCTCAAGTATGTTAATGTCTTGAAATAACTTCATTAGAAGGACTTCTGAAATTTTATCAAAATGTTTTTCTTTTGTCCTATGTCGGGCGGGCAATTATTTTGGGGAGAGGGCCGCTTACCGAGTTTCAGCGAGCCATCAAGGGCCGCATGACAAGCAGCTCAGGGCAGATTAATATTAATTTTCTAATTTTTTTAGGGGTCCCGTGAGCTGGATAGAATGCCTGGCTGGATAGAATGCCCCCGGACTGCATTTTGCCCACCCCCGTCCTATGTTCTCCCCAAATAGGCAACTATCCAAATAGAATTGTATTATAATTGGTACCAATGTGAAGTATCATAAAATAAATTAATATTGTTACATTTCTGGGCTAACTCTACTGCCAGTGGATGTTTCAGCTCATAAACCGTGCCCTAGAAAGCACAAATTCTGCACTTGGCTTTCTGTGATATTCCTTCTTTACCCCTAGCTTTCTATCTACATTGACTTGATTGGCTTGCCCCAAGGGAATGCTCTCAGTCTGAGACTGACAGCACAAGAACCGGGGATCATCCTATCTTTGATTTGTTGATTCCTGCTTGAGCAGATTGTCACATTGCATTTGCTGTATTGCAGTTCTGTGCTGCTAATGGTGGAAATAAAAGTTTGTCTTAGTAGCTGAGCTAGAGAAAAATTTCACAATGCTAGTGAGGAGGGATAGGAACTTTTATTTAATAAAAATGAGAAACAAACAGCAATGACATTTTGTATGTCTCTGATAGCCTTATAATAATTAAACTAGTTTGGATCAGCGGTACATATTTAATTAAAGCTAGTTTACTTTTAGGGGGATGTCATCATAGTGCATACAATGTCCTTCATCGTATGGAAGGAGATCTGCTGATGCAATGGATTGTGAGGGTACAGCTTGAAAGAACTTTTTTGTAGTACTAGAACCAAGTACACTTTGTGTTTGCATAATAGTACCTTTTATCCAAAGCACACAAAGCTTTCACAAATAAAATTCATGGAACTGTAGTCAACATGAATGGGCACTGTTTGGGGCACCACAATAATTTGGTTTCATTTATATTTTATACTGGAACTTCCAGCTTTTTGTATCTCCTTCCACTCTTCCTGCACCAAGACAGAGATGAGGAGAAAACAGCATCAGATTGGTTGTTTACCTTGGAAATCACCTAATTCCTATTATTTTAGTAGAGTTTGTAGTGTAAGAGATACAGAGGCATAGCCAGGGTAAATGTGACTAAGATGGGGATTCACTGGTTAGAATTGTTTTGGGTCTGCAGATCTCAATCTATATGTGTTTAACCAAGCTACTTCCCAGCTCCTCTCCATACCACTTCCAGGTGTTGACAGCAAGACTATTTTTAATGTTGCACTACCACTTTCTTCCTTAGTATATGAGCACTGAAACTTCAGGATTTATTGATCCTGATTTTCCACTGTGTAGCACCTGTGCTTGAAGGGGAAATTGGAAGGCTGCCGAAAGCCAGTTGTGATTGCCTGGTTTCAGGAAAATTAGAGCCCACAGGGAAGTAAATGATGGAAAGTATCTTTAGCAGGGCATACTGGCTGTTGCAGTCTAAAACAGAAACGTCTACATTCTAAAAGAAATCCCCACACTTTTCAGCTGTTTTTTGGAACTTTAAGCTTGGTCTTAGAGTCTGCTAGCATCTCTAAAGATGCTATGAAATGGAGACCTCCTGAACAAAACAAAAATATTGCTGCTAACCCATTGTCATAATCCAATAATTTGAAACAAGTGAATGCTTGTCATAGCCAATGTCTGTATTTTCAAATAAGATACGGAGATGTGATGGCAGTATATGATTTCAGACTATGGCATACTTCAAATACCTCTGTTTGGGTAAAATCTTTTTAGTTTTGACTTGCACAGTTGGCACTTTGATAGCTTCCATGCTGCATACACGGAAACAATAATGTCCAGTACAAGGTGAGCTTAGGTTAGGGTCTCTCACTTAGAAGAAAATACTATTTTTGTAAATACAGCCAATGTAAATTATACCAACATAGTTACTTTTGAAGTGGTTAATGCTGTAGTATTACTAAAGCTGCTTTTCCTTGCCTTTGTTCTGTCATTACCTAAGATGAGATTGTTGTTTTATAAACAATGTGCAGCACTGGGTGCCAGATGAAAGCATAGCCAGAAGATTAGATTACATTATCAAGGGAGAAACTAAGCAAGATGCATTTGAAACTGGGTCTGTTGCAAGCCACCAGGTAGTTATCAAGCTCCATAATTATAAAGGGGCACCCTCTCCTTTCTAATGTTTGTTTTAAATGTTAAATGTGATTAAAACAGATTATTTTTAGAAAGGGAAAGAAGTACTTCCCCCTTCACCTCCCCCCACCTGTTGTTTTTGAAACAAAGAAAAGCCATGGGGGTACAGTAAAGGGTCTGGTGGCACATAAATGTTCTTCTTTGTAAATTATTCCAGAATCAGGAGAGCCTTCAACTCTTGATTTCTTGGAGAGGTAGATGCAAAACATTGTTCCAGAATTAAGCACCAGACATTCTATAGGGAATATTGCTTTTAGTTTTAGGGAAGATTCCATAGGTTATGTTCAGCTGTTTAAAAGAAAAGCTTTCTGCCAAACGGAGCGGATGTAGCCAACGTTCAGCATCCTCATTACTCATACACTGGTGTGTAGCTTTATGGTCAAGCAGATAAAAGTCACTTCTAAAGACAATACAGTCTAACACCCCTGTGGATCTAGTGATCATCAGTGGATCTTTTTCAGCATTCCTGTAGTGTCATCATGGGTGTTAGAAATGGAGAGGAGTAAAGAGTATTCCCAAAGAATATGGTTTAAAATGGGATTCTGTGGAGCCTGGAGAACAGAAGGCCGAATGAAGGTCTGGTATGCAGTCACTTGTGCCATGACACAATATGGGCAAGTGATTTGCCTTGGCATTAATGCCTACATTAGGCTTTTATAAGTAGCATTACATTACAGATGAGCATTAATAATTGTTTTGCCCTGGTGTTGAGCTTCTCATTTCAAGATTCAGTGTTGCTTTACCAGTAGAAATTAAGCTTTCTAACCTCTAGGTAAACTAGGTAAGTATAA